TCAATATAAAATAATGACTTCTTATCTTTTCTATTTGCCGAGATATCACTCATGTACTGAATCAAACACAGTGGCACCACTCACTTCTTTCCATTTTTCGAAACACTCCCATATATACACTTACTTCTGTCTATGACATGTGAATAACCAATCAAAAGCTCAGAATATCCTTCTAGTGGCTCTCTTGGCCATTTTCAAGTATTACGACGTCATCGCGTTCTCTCAATACAAATCTTCAAGCTGGTAAGTTGAATCTTTAGTCTGCTCGAAAGTTCATATTTTTTAGACCCAAATACAGCTTAATTATTAGGAACAAAAAAGGCATAACTTATATTTATTTCCTAATTTTTAAGGTAGTTACGAGGTCAGTCAAATCAACAGAATCGGTACAGAGATCCGTTAGTGAAAATAACAGATAAAATATAGAGTTTATTCTTAAGAAACGTATGATAACTATCTGGACATTATAAACATTTTGCATGTAAAATTTTAAGATTTTCTGACGCATAAAAGTATTTTAATCATAAAATGAAAATTACTTTCCATGTTGGATAGGCAACATGCAAAAAGAAAAAAAAAGACATGAGAAAAACACTCCTCAACAAACCTTACGACTTAATAAAAAAAGTCTGATACTTTGCGTATGAAAGCCTTGTAATGTTAACTGATAATATGCCAAATTTCGTGAACACGTGCTTACTAATTTAAAAGTTATAGCATGAAAACTATAACAAGCACAAAATGGTTACGAAGTCGGTCCCAGGAACCAAGCCCAAGCTGAAAGAGTTAACTTGAGTAAATCAATGTCCCTTAATGGGACAGGGTAAGTGTACAGATTTCCAACTCTAAAATCTACCATTTCGTTTTCCTTTCACTTCTCCTTGTTGGAAGACTCTTTAGGATCACCAACTACATTGATTATGAGCTGGATCCCTTGTTAGCATGCACATTGGTTCAATATTCGGCTTCCACATTTCTCCATGTTCTCGTTGGAGTCTCGAATTTCATAGGCTCCTATAGGGGGTCATAGTTCCGCCCCTATTCGTGGGTCCCTACTAGCTTACCATTTTCTTTGGGCAACTCCTGTAGTAGCAGGTCAATTGTCTCAATCCTAACTGATTCTTCCGACAGGATAGATGCTATATCACAAGGTTTTGTTGGATTTGCTCTAACTGTGAAACTCTATATGATGGGTTGACCTCTCATTGGGTCACCCAACCACTGGCAATTTGGTCTCCAGTACCTCATCTTAGGGCTTTGGCAATGGTTGCATTCCATCAGAACAAGACGGGATTACAGCTTTAGGCCCTCTATCCACTTCATATGTTATGCAGGGTACTAAATATGACTTGTTCCAACCCTTTGTATGTTGATAGAACCAGACTGGATGCTCATTGGGATCAGCTCATTAACATGTATATATATATATGTGTGTATATATATATATATATATATATTCATAAATCAAAAATATATTTCCAATAATACTTACTCTCTCACACACACTCTCCCCACTAACAGCCAGTGTTAGTTTAGAATTGAGTACGTCTCGAAAAAATAACATTTTCTAAATGAGGTGCTAACATACAGTACCAGGATACTTGTCACATTGCCAAGGGCAATTAAGTGGGGTATAAAAGACTGCAGCAAGCAAGAAAAAATCAGACAAATGAGTAGATGGGCAAAGGAATAAACCCTGGCAGTTGAGTAACAACTATAAGTGTGAAAAGAGGCATTTTGGAACACTTTCATTAACCACCCCCCAAAAAAGATACATCATGTATATTAATTAAACAAATCGCCTAAACGTCACGTTAGTTTACTCTACATAATGTGTAAAGTTTAGTATACTCTAATCCCTTATAGTGATGGAACACGACGAGATACACATTTGGCATGTAATGCTGTTTGAATGCAAGAAGGGAAACAATGCCTCTGTAGCCACAAAGTATATCAAAGAAGTTTATGGGTATGTTTTGAACGTTCGTAAGTGTCAACGATGGTTCAGAAAATTTCGTTCAGGTGACTTTAGCCTTAAACACTGTGATGGCAGGGGCCAACATGTTAGAATCCATATTGATGCTCTAAAGACGCCTGTTGGATCTAATTCAAAGCAACACACTCTTGAGATGGACCTGAATATGCATGTCTTTCATGAAACAATAGATAAACATCTAAGGAGTATGGGAAAACTCTATAAAGAAGGTGTTTGGGTGCCTCACGAACTCTCTGATGAATATCGTTTCCAAAGTGTGAACGTTACTTCGTCACTTCTGGCACGTAATGCGTGTGAACCATTTTTGGACAGAATTGTTACTGATAACGAAATATGGATTCTCTATATGAATATCAAATGTCAGAAACAATGGGTCATTCGTAGATAAAAACCACTTCCGATCTCAAAACCTGGACTCCATCTGCAGAAAGTGCAGCTTTGCATTTGGTGGGACATGAAAGGAGTAATTCATTTCGAACTCCTCAACTCACAGCAAACTGTCAATGCAGAGATTTATAGTCAGCAACTGGAATATTTAAATTAAGCCCTTGATCAGAAACGCCCTTCACTCGTCAATCGAAAAGTGTTCTTCTCCACGACAATTCACGTCCACTTGTGGCACGTTTGACGCAACACAAGATTATGGAGTTGGGTTGGGAAGTTCTCCCCCACCAACCATATTCTCCAGATATGGCATCATCAGATTGCCATTTTTTTTCGTTCGCTGCAACACCATTTTAATGTGAAAACATATGCAAATGTGGAAGGTGTTAAAGAGGACATCGGCATGTTTTTTTTTTTACTTCAAATTTAAGTGATTTCTTTAATCAGGGCACTAACAACCTGATTGTAAGATGGAAAAGTATCACGGATGAGAATGGAGGCTATTTCATTTAAT